TCGCCCCGGTCCCCCCACAAACCCCGGGGACGCAGCAAATGAAATCCCGCAGCTCTGACTGCATCTCGCCTTTTCTTGGCGAGACCCAGACCCAGGCCAAACCTCCAGCAGCTCTGCCGGGTTACAAACACGTTTGCAAAACCTCCAGCACGGCCAAGGGGCTGGGGAAGGCATGCGCCCCGGCTGTCGGCTCTGCCCCCGGCACAGCCCCGAATGCCCGGCGATTATCGGCAAGGAGGCGCAGAGCCGTAAGAAAAGATGGAAAACAAGTCAGAGAAGGACTTTGTTATCGCATTTTCCTGCAACGTGTACGCAGGAATGAGCTCCACCTCGCCCCAGCCTTGGATCACTGGGTACAGAGCCGCGGGTTCGGCTTCAACCTTTACCCCCGGGCTCTCCGGGGACGGCGCAGCCGCCCGTCTCACCACGCACGACGCCGGGCCACCGCTGCCGGCAACACGCGGCAGATCCCTCGGGGAGATCCCTCGGGGCTGTTCCCCAAACTGGCAGCTTGCAGCCAGCAGCTCCCATCACACCAGGGCTCAGCCAAGGACAGGTGCGGCCGCCTCGTTTCCTCTGCAGCACTTAATTACACCCCGGGGTAACGAGGCAGGGAAAGGCAACGTGAGGCACCGATCTGTCCGTGGGCTGTTACACATCTGCTGTGCAACACCTGAGATTCGGTCCCCGAGGGCTTCGAGAAGCACTTCAGTACCTAGGCAGACGTCTAAGTGAAAAAAAAGAAAAAAAAAAATCCCTGTTTGAGCTCTCATGTGGAAAACCACACGCAGGCAGTGATGATCCAACGTTGGCTCCGAGAGTACGCTCGTATCTCCCGAATTCCCCGAGCTCTTCTGTTCCCAAAGCATCCGCGTCCAGATTAATCAGTTCAGTCACTGCTTTTCCTTTCAAAAAATCAGCTGTGCAACTCAGAGTTACAACTGCTCTGATAAACGGCAAAAAAAAAAAATTGAAACTGTTCTCAAGTCAGTGCAGGCAGGAGAAGCTAAGAACCCCCAGGTGCCTGCTGGCCCAGCTCAGCCCTGGAGACCCCCGCTCCCCCCAGGCTCCAACCCAGTCCTTGCTGCACGAGGATGTTTCACAAGCACAGACAGTCCAGCACCTTCAAAACACATCATTTTTTTTTTTTTTTTCCCCTCCTGGTCACTCCTCGGTGCCGCACCACCGGCCGCTCCCTCCCTGCCGTCCGTCCCATGCCGAGAGAACGATTCTCAGCCTCTTCCCCAAATCTACAATTCTTCCAGCAAAGGAGCCAAAACCTCCTCGTCCCCAAGCCCTGAGGAAACGCTGCTGGCGTCTCAGAGACGAGAGCTGCTCCTCGCAGGCGCGAGAATCCACAGCCCTGGACACAATTTTCCCTCGGTGACAGGGACTGAGCTCCGCCAGATTCCCCAGAGCTCCCAGCTCCCAAAATAACTTTATTAAGGGCGGTCGGGACGCTCGGAGGAACCTGATAACCCTCAGCCTGCCCTGGCAGCAGCCACCCCGGCTGGACCTTCCCGTTAACCCCTCCTTGATCTCCAACCAAAAAATCCCGTCTGGGTTCTGAAAACACCCAGGACGGTGAATCCAAGCGCAAGGGACGGTGCCCGGAAGGATGTGCTCTCGCCATTAACCGTTTGCTCTGTTTCTAGTTGGGGTTTGTCTCGTTTTAACGCCCGTTTTGGGCACTTTTCCATCCCCGTCAGCGAGGCTGAAGAGCCGCTGCTCTGAATTCTCCCTTTACGAGACCGGAGAGGGGTCGGACAGGAACCAGGAGGACGAGGGAATCATCTGACGATCAGCTCTGCCAAACCTCGAGCACCAGCCGGCGATGCCAGCACGGGACCTGCTGTGTGCAACAAACTGGAACTCTTCAAACAGCTTTGTTTAAAAAAAATAAGGAATTAAGAATTATCTATTCCATTTTCTGCCTCCTCCATAACTCACAAACTGCTCAAAAAGCCCAGCCTCTGGGTGATGACTGGGAAAAACCAGACGACCAATGACTGAAGTCTAATTTTCTCCTCAGACGCGGCACCGCAGCCTTTGGAAGAACCTCGCACCACTCGCAGGAGCTGATTCCCCAGAGCTGCCCCAAACCTGTGATCCCCAGCAGCGGGACAGCCAAGGAGACAGGAGGATCTCCACAAGCTGGCTGTAATCTCCTTACGCGCTTAAATCTCAGCAGGAGGTAGGGAGAATGTCTCGAGGATGGAGAATGAGCAGCTGCTGGTTTCATTTCCAAGCCTCAGCTCTCGTCGTACAGCTCCGCGGTTTTTTGGCCATCAAAACCAACGGCATCCAGCACCGGGCAGCACGGGAGCAGAGGATCCGGACACCTGGGACCTGATCTCACCTTTCCCTCAGGATTTGTTTCACATCACCCACTAGAAAGAGGTTGAAATAACCAGCTGATAAATCTCAAGAGCGCTGGGAGCCCAGCTGTCCACCCCAGAGGGGTTTTGAAGAGGCTCTTCAACACCTGGGGAAATTTTGGAACCTCAGTTCCTCGTTTCTTCTGCGGTAACGACCAGCAGGGAGCAGAGAGAACCTGACTGACCGAACGCTTCAATAATTGTAAAAGAAAAATCGGGCGACAGCCAGGCGGAGTCAGAGCCATGCGAACTCCCACGCTCAGCGGCGTTTACCCCGCACAGGTGCACCAAGCGAAAAATTCAATTGCGTTAACATCCCCACCGCGCACCAGCCCCACCGCTAACGGGTCGTGAGCAGCGCCAAACCCAC